CAAACAAACCTAATAATTTAACTTTTACATCTTTTGGGCTTGGGATTAAACCCAATACTTCTTAAACATGGGTTCTGGCGACTGAGTTAATAATAAGCTAGTCACTCCTAGTAATACAGTTTTTAACAACTCAAACTACTGCAGTTGTGTGAATAAATCCTGGATCTGATATTTATTATAGAGGCCTTGTTTGTAAGTGTGATCATTATCAATGAACAGGTTTTGTTCTTGAAAACGTTTACAAACTCTTGTCTTGTTATTAACTTAGTAGTTTGTTTCCGAGGAAAAATATATCTTCAACTTTAGCCAACTATAAACAGCACTCTAACGTCAGGTCATCATTTAAGAGTGTTTTCCCGTTTTTTTTTTTTTTTTTTTTTTTTTTTTTTGTCGTGAGCGCTGAAACTGACCAACACCAACGCTCTTCTTAAGAGTGATAACATCTTGACTGGAGACATCACAAACTGTACCTTGATAGATTCCGCCACATGTGGCTAGCCGTTGTTTGAAAATATGAAGCTGGTCTTAAATATTTGAAATGCACACAAGACGAGTCGCAAGTATATAACGTATTATGTTTGTTAGTTTATGTCTGTCGAATGATATTAGTTGGTTGAAGCATTTCCAAAGGAGAGCGCAGACTGTTTATATAAGGTCTTAAGTTCTACTGTAAAGGAGATTAATAAAAACACTGTAGCGAGTGACACGCGTTCCAAATAAATGAATACATGTTAAAATACTCGGATTTTAAGCTAATACCAGTTCTTCATTACAGACACAAAACAAACAGATTAAACTATTTTTAGATTTCGATGACATGTAAAGCTTAAGTATATACAAGCGGAAAGCTCATAATAAATAAAAGTTTCAAGTTGTAAAAAGTCCTTATGCATTATTCGTTAAGTTAGGTTTTTCATTTTAATTAAACCACAAAGAGGGGTTTTAGTTTAAAGCTATAGAAACAATTTAATGTACACACTGTTTACCAGTAACTGAAAAAAAAATGCCCACTCCAAATAGAGTGTCTTTTAACTAAGTAAACAAAAATTAAATAAAAAGTACAATATTACATTCAGTATTTAGTGGGATCTACTCTTTGCAATATTTAAGGCAGAAGCATGGTTACACGTCGAATTTACAAGATTTAAAATATTTTCCTATGGGATTGCACTCCTCTTCTGGCGAAGAACTTGGATGAGGGTAAACCTAGAAGTTTTTTTGTTTGAAATTTTCTTCACAGAGAACAATAAATATGGACCACACATGATTGACAGGGTTAATTATCTTACGATTGGCTTTGTTACAGGAGAGGAGAGTAGTAATGCTTGGCTTCAAGTCTTCGCAGCTTTCCCAATAACTCAGCAGTAAAAACCGGGTTTTGATACCCATGGTGGGTACAGCACAGATAGCCTATTATGTAGCTTTGTGATTGACTACAAACAAACAAATCAAGTCATTGTAGCCCACCAGCTGTAAGTCTGAAGGCTTATTACATTGAAAACCAGGCTTCGATACCCGAGGTTGGCACAGCATAGATAGACTATTGTGTAGCTTTATACTTAACTACAAACAAACAAATCAAATCAAGTTATCCTTGTGTGACTCGGGCCGAATGAGCATGAGTCCCAGCTTGCGTGAAAACAGGTAGAAGGTCTTATTGAAGAATTGTGATGTATCGAGCATCAGCTGCCCGAATGGCACCTAACACCATAATAGCAGTGTTGTCGTATTTTTTTTGCCACGACTTGCAGATGGTTCAGTCAAAGTTCCTGGGAGGACAAACGTAGTTTCGTCCATTGTACGAGAATTGCGCGAATCTGGACTGGTAAAAAAAAAAAGGTGTTCCAAAAGGCATGAGGGTGTGATAGCTCTGTGATGCTCACTACTGTAGACGTACTATATTGCCTGGGGTGATGAGTGACTTACAACTAACTATTCTGTCACTGCAGCCCATACTATGAAGATTTTATTGGGGCACACTCGCACGTGTCCTGGAGTAGTAGCAGCTGTGTTATTTGGAACATCTTTCATAGTATTAAAAGTCAGTTTTGTTGGTTTTGAGCGCCAAACATGACTAGAACTGCATTTTCGTTCTAATCCCTTAGCTGGTGAAATGGCTGTTTGTATTCTGCGGTCTTTACCGAGCTATATATATATATTTATAAGTCATGGTTATTCCTTATTCGCATATGACGTCATTGAGAAGGTAGATTTGTATTCTTGGAGGGTGGCGGATTTAAAGTTTTATAGTCTATGTTTAAACTAGTTCAAACATTAATAACTTTAACGCGAACAAAAAATGCAATTATTTGCTTTACAACTAATAATTTTAATACATACGAAAGCCCTGAACTGCAAGGTTAAACAAAGAAATAATGAGGTTATCTTGTCTTCATTATGATGACGAGGAACCTCTTTAAAACTAGAAAATTTCATAAAAACAAAGAAATGCAATTCCCTTTAAAAAACTATCTAATACAGTTTCATCGTATATTTTAATACTATGAGAAGTTCTCTATGTTTTGTGTAGTTATTTCATGTTGCTCTGTTGCGTGACATACCTTACTCCTTCAAGTCACGTGCATTAATAAATTGTGAACAATCGAAGCTTACATGTGTGATTAGAAATGTTGGGGTGTATGTGTACTCCATAGGGCAAAATACTGAGTAATATAGGTAACAGTACACTGACTGAAAAAAAATCGTACTTATTTAAATTGAACTAGTTTACAAAAACCGTGAGATTGTACTCTGAATGCTCACAACTGCAAAATATCGATAACGATATTTCCTTCTTACATCCTTGCAAAAAAAAATCTGATACATATACTCCACTACGGCAGTATTTAGCATAAATAGGCTCTTCTCTTGTTTTTTTTCTTCTTATTGTTTAGTGATATCACTTTGAGAAGGCAACATTGTATAATAAATCTAATCTCAGATAATGATATATTAATAAAAACCATCCGCAAATAAAAGGAAAATACCAATTAGCCCATGTTGAGTTTTGACTTGAACCATAATCTGTTATCTGTACGATGTTCACGCAGAATTCAGAAATAATCAGTAATTAGAAAAATAATGAACGCACAAAACAAATACATCTATTATGGTGTATATAAGTCAAATATTCAGAAAAAAGTGAATAGATTTTTCTCGATACAAAAAAAGTTTGAAGAGAATATTTAGTGAGAAGCAAAAAGGATTTATTAAGTCCCAACTTTTTGGATTGAAACTGGGAAACAATCTTTCACTGGAAGTCACAACATATCAAAGAAACAACTGTTATAATTAAGTCAGGTTATATTTATCTATTTTTTATTAATCAATTATTTTTTAAATTCACGACAATTTTGATTCTAATTTCTGCATACTTTTCCAAAGGGACTGGGGCTCGGATAGAGTGTCCAGACTGTGAATCCACAGAAACACCCTTCGCACTTTATGACCGTGGGTGCATTATAACTATGAGAGCAAATCACATTATTGGGCCAGACAAGAGTGGCCCAAGATCTGACAGCGAGTGAGGGAAATTGACTAGGCTCCTTCCAGTCTTTCAGTTCAAAATTAAGGAAGGATATGAACTCATAACCCTTGTGTAGCTTTGCGCGAAAATTCTAAAAGAACCAAACATTTTTCCAACGAAAAACTGAGCGCCAGGCTTAGTTTTCTTCATTGGTTCTGCTGTGAAGCACAGCTGTCGTCGTTTTTCCTGATGTCAGGTGTACTCCATCATCACTGCCAAGTTTACATTGCTAAGTCTTAATTTCACAGCCCGATTATTATTAACACTCTAGGTATTTGGAAATGTCTCTATCACAAAAACATCTCATAATTAAATCTATTCTCGTTCGTCATTTGAAACTCTGCCAGCTGTATAAAAAAAGAGTGAATTTAGTACCAGTAGATTTTCCATTTCGTTATCAGTTCTAGAACATCGTTTACATTAAAATTCGATGACGAGGAACCCACTTTGAGACTAATAATGGCTGGAGACGGCTTGAATGGGTAATGAAGAAAAACTTTATATAAGTTTAACATCACAGCAAATGTACAACGTTTCGACAAGGTACCTGATGATGACAAAACCTTGTCGAAACGTTGTAC